CGATAATCCACAATCGGAGTGAAACTTTAAGCAACACTAATGAAAAAAAGAAGCCTCAGTCAACCTGATAATGTCAAACAAAGTGGGATTTCATGCTGAGTAGGTTTGCAATATTTAATGACACAAATTGTTAAAAGTGCAATGATTTGTCCTTTTGTTTGAAATAATAACTCGAGCAAATCTATAATTGCAAACTTAAGTGGTACAGAGGTTAATATTTTATATTAATTAACCTAAATAAAATGACAAGCGCGCAGCCTGGGAAAAAGGAGAGGACAGAAGGAATAAAAACTAAATATTTCAGCAAGGGGAGGAGATAATATAAAGGAATGAAACACAGTGACAACATTCATTTAGTTCTGTGCTTATTTTCTGATCATTTGGTTTTGATCCCACATGCAGGCGGATTTATTGAACACAATGAACTGACTCCAGATTCACTGCATTTAGCATCAGTGAACTCCACGACTAAATACCATGAATCAGCTAAGTAGACAATTTGGACTCAACAGACATATCTGAATAAATATTTTGACTTTGTTCTCTCACATGCACAAGAAGATTTCATTAGTGTCCCGTAAAATTACCCTCCCACCGCTAAAAACTCTCAGGCTTAGATTCTGGAATACAATATTCCAGCAGGTGCTTCTTTGTTCAGCGTTCCTGCATACAAATTCATTCAGTTGGCTGATATTTACATAAAAACAACTTCGCTAAAAAACTTTCTGGCCTTGTTGGGTCACTTTCCTTAAAGGGAAAAAAAAGGGAACATAACTTATGTACAGCAGCTAGCTACAGGCGACTGTGGAAAATATGCAGATTTGGCAGGTGGTAAGTAGAATTTCTCCACTATTTTTACATTTGAAATATGAAAAATGTTCAAAAGCTTTATATTGGTTTGTATTCTTAACACAACTGGTGAATAAGACAACCTGAACTACTATGAGGTCAGTCTGTTTGCTGCAAACCAGCGCTGAGAAGGCGATGTTCAGCCTACACTTCACCGGATGAATAATCACAGATACAGTGAGCATCATGCATACATTTTCGAAATAAATTTTTCCCCGTGTGAGGCAGACGTCATCTATTTCTCCACTTAGCTATAAATAAGGCAATTTCTGAAAGCATTTTCCACGTTCGACTTTCCCGTTTCACTTGTAAACACAAGCGAGTTGAACTGCACAATCCTCCAAAGGAATTCTTGTAATTTCTTTTCATCTTTACCAAATTACCCTTCATGCTGAGGGAAAGAAATAAACTTAACACCCACATGGTGAAGTTTCAATCATCACTGCGTGAAACAGACGAAAACTGAAACATTCAGAAAGAGAATAAATATTACAAAGGAAAAAACAGCTTGCTGATTGTTACCGACTGCAGGAAGGTGATGAGGGTCACTCAGGATAATTCACAGGCTTTCTACGGGGCCTTGACATTTAGAAGGAGGCAGATTAAGGCCTTTGCTTGGTTACCAGAGTCCCTCAGCAATGTGTGAGAGCAAAGAACACCTGAAACAGACTGACATCTACCCGAGCCTAAAAACACAAGGATATTGGGGAGAGAAAAGCCTCCCGATCTCTCTCCAAGAACTCTTTCTGCATGTCTTTGTCTCGACAAAATGAATCATGCAAATGGGACAAACAGCATCTCCTCAGAGGCACCACAGTGTTCCACTCACAGCGCTGTTAAAAGTGATGGCAGCAGTTGTAGCAGGAAAAGAGGAAATGAGAGAGAGAAGTTCTGAAATCTGCCTACTTTCTCACCTCTAAGAAAGACGGTAAGAAAAGCATAACTCTGAAAACTAATGATTGCTGAATTCCATTAGGTTCTGGTGTTGTTCATGTTCACGCAGCAGGTAAATTAAACCCATTCATTGTGAGTTTACTATTTATGCTTTTCTTATGCAACATGTCAAAATGTCCATGAAGGCAGCAAACTGTTCATCACACCAACCTGCTGTTATTTAAAGGCGACCTCATTAGTTCCAAGTGGACCTCGTTAGCAAGCAATCATCAGTGCAAATGTCAAGCTATCGCGCGACTAAACTGTGCACAAACTCTATGTATATCTGAAGGTGCCGTAATGCCAGTGTTTGTGGTCGCCGGGACCTTTGTGACGCCGCTGCAGAGCCTTGATTGATCCCCTTTGAGAGTTTCCCTTTCGGCCTGTCAGATTCATGCTGAGCGCAGAGCAGAGGCTCAGCGTGCAGCTGGGGGAAACTTTACCAAAGCCGAGGCTCTCTGACACTGCGGTTTGAACCCCAGTTCTCAGAGCGGATTGAAACCGCCGGGTCAAACCGCTGCCGTCTAGCAGCCTGCAGCAGGTGGCGGAACGCGGCCGCTGCCTGTTCAAGCCAAACAGCGTGGCCGAAGACGGACAAACCCTCCGTGTGCGTCACCCAGAGGTTTCCTGAAGAGTGGTTTTGAAGCTCAGTTTCAATAACAGTCTCCACACTCACGGCATGTTCCTGCTAAGTGCATGTGGGCTCTGAAGCAGACTTTTTGATGCTTCCTTTCTGTGAGTCCACATTTCTGCAGGGACTTTGCTCATTGCAGAAAATGGCGACATAAAAAAAAAACCCTAGCAGCACGTTTACTTACTCAGTGCTGTGGTTACTTATTGCATGTTTGTATTAGTAGGCCAGTGTCTGCAAAGAATTAACAAATGTTCAAGGTTTTTCTGACTTTTGTCAGTTTGCTAAAATGCGTTAACGCTTCATTGTGTGCCGCAAACGGCAACAGATGAAACATGAGGTCCGATGGCAATGCATTGTTTGTACTGCCTGACTTCCTGCTAATCCAAAAATGAGCAAACAGGTGGAGCGTGACCGGAGCGGAGACAGGATATGTGACAGAACTAACCTGTCACTCAAAGTGTTACTTAATTATACACGCCTTTAAGCCTTAATACAATTCAAACAGATGAGTTAAACACAAATGCAGCTGCTGTCGTGTTGTCATGAAGGGGGAAATTAGCTATAGAAAATAATTTTGAACATAGGGTCAATTTAAGGACCTGCAGCTTCTGGCTTCATTTCTTCAATCGTTTTCCATCCTTCATCTTCCTAATGACTTTCCAAGACGACATGCTGGTGCTTTAGTAAACCACATAGTTTGTGAATATACAAATTTTCTTTCACACATACAAAAATAAATGCACAAAAATGCAGCAGCACACCACGTTCCCATGAGATGGCTACTATCTCCTCAGAGATCAATCAAGACGTTTCCTCTTGATCCTCTTTCCTCGTGTGAAACTGTCGGCGTCTCTCAAATCTTAGAAGGTGGCTTACATTCGGGAACATAAAAAAAAAAGGAGACATCACTCATTTTTTGGGGGGGAGCTTTACATCACACCACTCGCTGTTTTATTCTTGAAATAAAAGCGTACATGCCCGGCTACATGTTCTGCAGGCAAAAGACACATGAAAATGCAAAATGATTCCCTACTTTCCTAAATGCCTTGTTGAAGCACCGACTCTGTGTTATCTTTAATTTAACCCTCTCAATCATCTTTAACCTCCCTTGTTACCTCTTCTCGTGTCCCTGTCTTCTGTCTTTCTGCCCATTAAAGTCAAATTCAGCTCCACCAGCCTCCCATTCCTCCCTCTGTCCTCCGCCTTACTTCATATCTCTATAAGTTTTCAGCTGGGACCATATTCTCCCTCTGCAGCCCCCTTGGGAAGCTTCATCGCCTTGTCTGCATGCGTGTGTGTGTGTGTGTTAGATATAGAGAGAGGAAGGGGGGAGACACTTTGTTCTTTGTATCTCGGGTCCAAGAGTCCTCACAGGAGCCGGAATAAAGAGCTCCGAAGTAGGCACTCGTGTGCAACAATTTCCGATGTGTGTTTGTGTACGTGTGTGAGTAGAGGCTTTTTTTTTTTTTTTTCTTTAAAGGGGGTAAAATGACGTTCAGCCCTCACAGTGGAATCTGCCTGCCCTCAGCTTTATCTTCATCCACATCTTCTGGCTGTAAAGCACCAAAGAGGCTGCTTGTTTGAGGAAGCGAAAGGAAACTCGGAGTTACTGAGCAGCCTTGAGACGATGAGTTTGATCTTGTGCGATGCTCCCAGAGCACCTCAAGTTGCATAATACTTTTTTCACTAGAAATCGGAACTGTTCTTTTCTGCATAATGTAACCAAGCCGATCACCTGGTGAGGAGTAAACCTGGCATGTGCCGATGCGATGGTGCACCAGAGAAAGAAAGGTTAAAAAGTCTCTGATTCCAGCTGAATATCTTTGGGTTGTGGTAAAAACAAATCAGGACTTTATCGTAGAATTTGAGACACACAACATTTTTAACCATTTGCTGACTTTTATAGACCAAACAACTAATCCATTCATCAAGAAAGCAGTCGATTAGTTGTAGCCCTACACTAGCACAGTGAAGCAGGATGCCTTCCATCTCCTATTATACTACAAAATAAATACACATACAGGGAAAAAACTTCTTTCAAACTGTGTAAAGCAACATGGCTGGTATAATAAAAAAACATCAACACAGTTCCTTTCTCTGTGCTGTTATTAAAGCAGTAGCTTCTCTCTCTAATGGAGAATAAATCACATCCTACAGCGACGGTTTTCATTCCAGTCTTCACACTCAGAGTCCTGCTGGTTTTCACTCTGTTCATGTAATCAGCCAGTGGATTACAGCAGGCTGGATAAGTGAATGCAATTAGCTGGCAGGTAGAACAGACCACTTCAGGACCGCTGGGTGCACAAAAACAACCCACAGAGGCAGCACTGTGGACTGAGGAGCTCTCCAGGTGACATTACACGTTTCCTTCATGGTAATATGAGGTGGTGCACAGTGAGGCTTTCTGACAGGTTAATTCAGCATAACTTCATCAACATGTGTGACAGACAGCCACAAACTGAGCCCAGCTGTAACTCTGATCTCCACACTCTGCACACACTCACATCCAGAACTGATCAAATCAGTGTGAACCTGCAGGAGGACAGAGGCTGGGACTCCCAGCTCTCCTCTGCTCTCTGCCTACCTTCCAGAGTCACGTCCTTTCCGGCCCGTTTCAGCGCCTGCACCGCCTCGTCGTGCGTCGCGTCCCGCAGGTTCATTCCGTTCACGGACAGGATGGCGTCCCCCACATACAGAGCCTGGGTCTGGTCCGCTGCCAGCCCCTTGAATATCTTACTGATGAGGATGGGCATCTTGTTCTCCTTCCCTCCTTTGATGCTGATGCCCAGTCCTCCGATTTCCTGCTTGGACACCTTGACGCACCGCTTTCTGTTGGCGATCGCCTCCGGGACTCGCTCCGGGAGGTCGGTGAAGGCGGTGCGCACCGTCTGCGGCCCGTTGTTGGAGTTGGTGTTGCTGTTGTCATGGTAAGATCCGTTGGTGACGCCGTTGAAGTTGACATTGTCGTCGTCGCTGCTCTCCTCGCAGCTCAGCGTGAGCGCTTCCTCGTTCAAGTTGACCAAAACTTTGTGCCAGCGCTCCCGCACCAGAACCTCCAAAAACCCACTTTTCTGCACTCCGGAGCCGCGCGAAACTCCCGTCGCTGCCACCACCGCCATCTTTGGAGCATTTCTGTACAACTCACATGTGCTTTAGTTCCCAGCGCGCCCTCACACGTTACTTCCAGCCTCCTCCGAGCTCCGGCTGGACTTTGGCCCCTCTGAAGTTTCCTGCGTCCCGTCCAACCAGCCTCAGCCTTTCGGCACAAGCTGCCCTCCGCTCCGCCCGCCACAGATCCTGTGCGCTGGGTGGAGTTCTCCTCCCCCCTGCCGGCAGCAGATCCCAGCTCCAAACCTGCGTTCATCATTTCCCCAAAGTGTGTCTGAGAGCAGCCAGCTGATGGAGAGCTGAATAAACCAAGCACCAGGAGCACATTCACACATTACTTATCCATTCCAATCACATCCTGATAATGATGACATGAACTGATGTGTTGACTTTGTGAATTAAACCAAGTGTTGTGCGCTTTTTTGGGGGCACATTACGCAGACAGGTGGCTACTTTATTTACCGATGTGAAAACTCGCTTTAGATAAAATCAAAATCTGACTACAGCTGATTTCCACTCTTGAGGCTTCTTTCTGTACATGACTGTGTTCAAGTCGCTGGAGGGAGACGGTTACGCGCGTACAGGAATGCGCTTGTGCCGGTTTTGACGCTTCAAAGAAAGACAGACAGAAAAGGCGCTTTGTTCCAAGGCTCTGACAGGGAAGTTTCCCCCCTGAGGCTTTTCTCTCCGTCGCTATTATTTTCTTATTATCATCCCACAGGACGTCCTGAGGCTCTGTCAGTCTGACATGATCCTGACGGTGAACTCTCACCGTGAGGTCAGCCGGTATAATAAGCGGAGCTGCTGGGAGCCCGGTGGGCAGACAGACCGTCAGTCAGGGGGGCTGACCCGGGTTCAGGCCCACTGACTGACTGACTGACAGGGAGGACATTCAGATTATGGGGATGTTAGGAAAACACACACACGCTGCTGTGTCCAGAAAGGAAGCAAACAACCTGTTCAAAGCAGCAACTTTTAGGACCTGCACAGGTTTTGATTCAACAGCTGTTTCCCTGAAACTTCCTGCTCACAGCAACCAATCATCTACCAGCAGTGCAGCTACGACACCTGCTGGTTAAAGTGATGCTGGAGGGTCAGAATGAACCTGGAGTCTAGTAAACCTACAGGTGAGTCCGCTCAGGTGAGCAGAACGATGTTTGATCTAAGACAAGACTATTCAAAGGAATGAGGAGCAGAAACTCATTTTACTGCTTTAATTATACAAACTGAATCAAAATTTGCACTTTTTTGTTCACTACTTCCACGAAGTGTTTCTTAAAATTGTCTTATTGTTAATGTAACAACATGTTTACTTCACCGGAGCAATAAAGATTAGTCTCTTCCAGAAATACAACAGTGAAGATGTAGTTTGACTTGATCCTATTGTGATTTATTAAAAATGCAAAGTCGTTTTCATTCAGTGTTTGTTCTTTCTTCACAAAGAAAACATTCAGGTTGAAGGATTTATCAGAACATTCACACTTATCAAGTTCAACAGTGTTCACAACTTTTTATTTTTTTATCAAGATCTTGCATATATTGCATATATGTATGGATGGAGGAATATTTATCTAAAATTTCATTGTTTTTGGAGTCCAACATGGAATGTGTGAAGGAAACCAAGACACAGCTCGGCCAAATTATTCTTACTGAGGCCAACTTTTGATTTATAGGGATATTTTTGTTTGACCAAAAGGTTTATTCTGGCTGAAAATGACATAAACAAGTGACAAGAGGTTGCAAGACATTGTGTTAGAGACATTAATGATGAATTGTGACTATTTCTGTGTTTTTTTGTAATAAAATAATTTTTAAAAAAATGAATATTTCCATGTCCAACATCATTCCTACTCCCTGAAACTGTTGCATATATTTGAGAAAATGCAGCTTCTACACTCTTCCAAATGCTCCTGGTCATTTCTATTGTGTTTTACAGCATTTTAATTCACTATGAACTCATGCAGTAGTTCTCTGGTCACTCTCTGGTCAATTGCAAGCCAATATTCTCACCAAAGATTAGGGATAATGAATAATTTGGAGCTTAGCTGTAGGAATTTGCACTCTGCTCTATAAATTGTGTAGTTAGATTATTATTATTGTTATTACTATTATTATTATAAATATTAAAAAAAAGGCTTCAAAACTATGACCTCTCTAGATGTGAAGTAATCTTCAATAACAAATATTGTGAGAAATCAAAGCATCACAATATATTTTGATCTCAAGTTGTTTGTGTCACTGAGTGAATTAAATTGTGTAATTACAGACTGGTACAGAAATGCTGCAGCATGTAGGAGCTTCTTTACATCAGATCATTACTACTGAGCTGCACCAAACCCAGGATTAACGTATTTATTCTGAGAAAGAATATTTTTGGTTTAATGAGGTGTAGAAGCTACAATTGATTTTTTCTACTTTTATATGGAAATGAGCTTTCAGATGAAATGTACATTCTTTGTTGTGGTGTCGACCTTCAAAGCAGACAAACAAACACAGAGTGTAATCTTATCAAAGGTATTTAAAGGTGGTTAATGAATCCTTTTTTTAATCCTCAGGCAGCCGAAGCATGTTGGTGGTTCCGCGCGCACACACACACACACACACACACACACACACACACACACAGAGCATTGTTGGTCTGTGAGCTGGCTGAGTGTGATCATTAAGAGAGAGTGAAGTGTGCAGGTGAAGAGACTAGAGGGGAGTCAAGCTGCTTTCTGATGAAAATGTGAGATTGGTTAATTAATAAATGTTTTGACCCGATTTCCTTTTTTAAAAAAAAATCTCTTACATAATGCTCCCTCTAAGCTTTCTTTCCTGTGTTGCTCTTTTCATCTTTCGTCATTGATTCCTTCCTCTTCACTTGTTGTAATCCTCCTCATGTATTATGTCAGCCTCTCTCCTGCTTCCTTCCACTTCCGAACAGTAAATAAGTGCTTTGTGCATGTGTGTGCCACTTGTATAACAGCCTAATTATTTGTTATTTTGCCATATTTTGTTATGTTTTGATCATGTGTTCTTCAGCTTGTAACATGCATATTGTGTAGTCATGTATATGCTTTGTATTGCTTTTTATTTTCCACTAGCTCTGTGGAGTTTAGGACTAACAAGCCAGATTCCTTTGTGTTCTAAGTAATCTTCTTTTATCGTATTATATTTGTAGAGTCGTCTGGTCAAAAGGTCGAGGAAGCAGGTGGGCAGGCAGGCTCACGTGAAGATGTTATTCACAGTTCTTATCCATTCATGGGAAACTCAAAGTCACAAAATAACACAAGAAAATAATTCAGAGGAAAATACAATTTCAAAATGAACCCATAACTACTCAAAGAAATACACAAGCTCAAGAAGCAAAGCATCGCCTCACGTTCTAAGAAGCAAAATCTCACCTTCTTATATATGTTGGTCAGTTGACACCTTCATCACTTGGGCTCTACCATCAGACAACCTGGAGGCAAACAAAACCACAAACGACATCACTGTATGATCTAAAGAGAGAGGCTAAGAAAAAAAACACATCTGGTGACAGTTTTTAGTAAAATATTTGTCATGATAAACAGAAACATTAAGTTAAAGCCTGAAGCCTGTTTGTAGCTTCTAAATCTTCACTGTTAGTCTTAAGTTTTCCCATGCTAATGGAGGCTTCATTTAAGACAATATTTATCAAAATAGTCAACAAATGTATATTTTCTGAGCAATATTTATACATATAGGTGTGAAATAATTTGGAATAAGACAAATGAAAACATCAGTATCACATCTACGACCTCAGAGAGTAACACTCAAAGAGCTCCTGAGATGAAAACCGGAGGTGTTAAAGAATTAGATAAAAGAAGTGATGCAACCCCTGAGAGGCTGCTTCTTTCCTCACATCATGGAGCCCTCCTCAGTGTGCTATATTTATATAGCGGGAGCCCACATGTATTCATTTTTTCACGACACTTGAGTTAGCTTTTATTTGCATTTGCTTTTTTTAATTTAAAGGTAGAGCATGCAATTCTAATCCAGTAAACTTTATGTTAGATTCAGTAAATATCTCCTCATGTTCTGTAGGTTCTGAAGTGGCTTGCACTGATTCACACAATTTGCACTATTCCTCTGTATCCTGTGCACATTCATGCTTGTCTTGCACAAACTACCGACCTAAATATGCAAAGTAGCCCGATGATTTCTCTCCAGAATTGCAGACTCTACCTTTAATATAAATAAGAACATTAAGACTAAGAAACCAGATGACACAGGTTAGCTTTGTTCTTCAGTTTCTTTTTTTTACCAATTGGCTTCAAGAAAGCTTTTTTCTTGCTGATTCTCGAGTTAAAGTGAGCGAAGTTTCTGCTATTGCTCAATCTTTATTAATTACATAATGAATTAGTGATGAATCATCTTCATGCATGAATCATACATCAATAATAGCCTAGTTTTCTGCACAGTACATGATGATTAAAAAGCTTTTCATGCTTTATTCTGCAGAGGTCGGGGGAGGCTGGAGTCAGTCCCAGTTGGCAGTGGGCAGGAGGCGGGTTCAGCCCGGACAGATTGCTGGAGCATCGCAGGGCAACACGGAGAGACAGAATCAGCCGTTAAACTAAACATGTATGTGATTGGATGCTAGGAGGAAGCGGTAGCACCCACAGATAACCAACACAGACACATGGAGAACGTGAAAACTCCAGCTGAGCAGCAGGTTGGAACTTTCTGGCTGTGAGGTGACAACGTTAACAGCTGTATCTTCATGATGAAGAAACAGAAAAATAGAAATGCATGGCAAAGACAGCACATTGTCGATATTTTACTGGCCTTCTTCATCTGTCCTTCTCCCCACCTCCACTGTCCTCCCTCTTGTCCTCCTCATCTTTTTCTCTTTTCTCTTGGAAATCGACATTTTGAGTTGCAGGAAAGCACACATGAAACAAATTAGGTTCATGAACAAGTGTCCCAGTGAGCCAGCAGGCACAACAATACAGCTCTGAAAGTAGGTCATCTACACGGATGTTGATGCTGTCACTGTTGTTATCGGTTGCTTTGACAGGCCAACATACCTCACTGTCTCACTGTTTAGGGGTTAAAGATGTGGCACATAGCAAATAAGTGAAGCATTACTCAGTAGAGGAGGAGCGTCTCTGCATCCGTGATAGAGAAATGAAACTTAACATTGTTTTTGTGCAACCAAACATCTGGTAAGCACAGTTGAGTGTGGATGCGAAGAGAAACAGCAGAGCAGAGCTTCCTCATCCAAGAAGGTGACGTTCAACTGTTCTAATAATCATTTAATGAGCTTATGGTTGTTTGGTGAATAATTACAGCACTTTATGAAACTTCAGTTAGCAGAAAGAGTTATACTAGTTATTTTATGATTTTTATGCCTCCGTAGTTATTGTATTCTTTTTACATTCTTGCTGAGAAGCCTAATCTTTACTTTCTTATTTGGCCTACTGGCACACAAACTTCTTTGTGGCTTTGCTCCACCAGCTTATGATCCAGAGAATGAGACTGGTAGCAGGAATGTAGTTGACGTTTAGTTATTTTCGCTGTGTAGACTGACTCACACTTGAGTTTAAAAAGTTTTTGTCATTGATGACTCACGCCCTTAAAACATGTCCTGTAGGTATGGCCACAGCCGGTAGCTTCCTGTCTGAGGATCAGTTCCAGTGCTCCATCTGTCTGGATGTTTTCACCGAGCCCGTTTCTATTCCGTGTGGACACAACTTCTGCAGGGCCTGTCTCACCAGGCACTGGGCCGACAAGCAACACTGTCAATGTCCACTGTGCAACGAGAAGTTCTCCAAAGACCTCAAACTTCGTGTTAACATCGCATTCAGGGAAGTTGTGGAGAATTTTAAGAAACATCAAGCGATACCTGACGGTAATTCCCCAGTCAAACCTGGAGAAGTGCCGTGTGACTGCTGCCCTGGCAACAAGGTCAGAGCCTCTAAAACCTGTTTGGTGTGCTTGACTTCCTACTGCAAGACACACCTAGAGCCTCATCAGAGGGTTTCTTACCTAAAAAGACACAAACTGACTAATCCTGTGCACAAACTGGAGAACAAAATATGCAGCAAACACAACAGGATTCTTGAGTTCTTCTGCAGGACTGACCAGACTCGAGTTTGCGCCATGTGTGCAGAACATAGCGCTCACGATACTGTCCCTCTGAAAGAGGAGTATGTAGACAAAAAGGCTCGGATGGGAAACAAAAATTCTGAAGTGCATGAATTTCAACAGAAACAAGGAAAGAAGGCTCAGAAAAAAGAGGCAGCGCAGAGCAAGAGGAAAGGCAAAGGTGACGCAAACAACGTGGAGCCTAATCAAATGCAAGCTGATCCCAACGAGGACCCACAATGTGTTGATGGACGTACCTACATCCCTGTAAATAACAGCCTCTGTGTAGGGAGATTCTACTATGAAGTTAAGGCCAAAAGGCAGACTTGCTTGTTTTTAGGAGTAGTCAGAGCACTGATGTATGGAAATGGGACATTCTTACCAGACTCTGGGGATGGACACTGGACCGTAATGTTGGAGTGTAAAAACTGCAGAACTCCACTTCACATCCCCGTCTGGATAACGCAACCTGAGGGAGTCACTTTGTTTGTAGATTATGAGAAAGGATTCGTGTCCTTCCGTTATGCAGGATACCCAGTCATGACATTCACTTTTAACAGCTGCAAATTTAGTCAGAGGCTTTCTTTGGTGTTTACTCCTCGTGTGAGCTGGACACAGAGGCTGCTGGGGAGGGTTCAGACGACGCCACGGTTTTACGAAGTCTTATGCTGGTTTATTGCTTTTATGGTTGTGCTCGTACTTTTCACTTGAATGTGCTGTGCATAAAACTTTACAGAAGATTGAAGATAAATGTCTGGGCAGGTTAACCTCTGGAGGAGGAGGATTCAGCTCAGCAGGTCTGGCTCCAGTATAAAGGTGGTATCAGCCAGTCTGACTTTGGTTCTGCTTGTACAGAGGTTTATTGTTTTGTTTTGTTTTGTTTTTTAAATTTGTAAAATAGACTTACCTTTAGTTGAAAGTTCTGTGTGGCCTTCCTTTCTCTGAGCAGGGCTGACATCCAAGATCAGATTAACTGTTTGATGAAGATGAAGTTTAAATTCTGAGATACGTTGGCCTGGTTTGGTTTGTTTTGCTGCTATAGAGTTGTAGGTGGGAAGGGTTTCTTTTTTTGTTTTTAGTGTTTGCACACTTATTACAATTCAAATTTGGATAATATCATACATGGGTTTTGTATAATTAGTTTTTATTTTTTAGCAGGTGGCGGAAGTATATATATATATAATTACATATATATATACAGCGCCCTCCATAATTATTGGCACCCCAGGGTTAAAATGTGTTTTTTAGCTTCTAGTAAATTCAGATTTTTTCTAAATGATGTAGGACCACAATGAAAAAAAGAGGAAAATTCAACCTTTAATTCAAGTGCATTTATTCAGTGTGAAAAAAATCCCACATTAAAAAATAATTCCTTGACATCAAATCCTGTGTGCCACAATTATTATCACCCTTGATGTTAATACTTTGTACAACCCCCTTTTGCCAACAATTCATTTGAGTTGAGTTGAA